CCAGAAGCTTCTGGTGTACTGGAAAATGTGAAAAACACTGTTCAGCAGACAACATTTAGAGAAATCCTTTCATCAGGACACTGTAAAGAACACACAGGCATGATTATATCCTGGACCTTAAGGAGGCTATAGTCTAATAGGGAAGGTAACACTTGCATAGAATATGTACAAAGTTTAAAAAAAAAAAAAAAGTTTCCTAAGTGTAGAAACAGCTACTTTCAGAGAGCAGAAGTTGGAGAATCTTTTAGAGAAGGTTTTTTTTTTTTAGTTGTAGTTGGACACAATACCTTTATTTTGTTTATTTATTTTTATGTGGTGTTGAGGATTGAACCCAGAATCATGTTCATGTCATCAGCAAACAGAGATACTTTTAGCTCTTTTTTTTTTTCCTTTTCGTATTCTCGTTATTCTTTCTTTTGCCTAATTGCTCTGGCTAGAGATTCAAGGACTGTGTTGAATAAAAGTGGTGAAAGTGGGAATCCCTGTCTTGTTCTTGTTTTTAGAGGGAATGCCTTCCATTTTTCTCTGTTTAGAATGAGTTGGCTTCATCTATTGAGATAATCATGTGATTCTTGTCTTTAAGTCTAACGATGTGATGAGTTACATTTATTGATTTCCTTATGTTGAACCAACCTTGCATTCCTGGGATGAACCCCACTAGGTTGTGGTACACTTTCTTTTTAATGTATTTTTTGTATGTGATTTGCCTGTTTGTTTGTTTGTTTTGTTTTGTTTTTAAAGAGAGAGACAGAGAGAGAGAGAATTTTTTAATATTTATTTTTAGTTTTCAGTGGACACAACATTTTTATTTGTATGTGGTGCTGAGGATTGAACCCAGCGCCATGTGCATGCCAGGCAAGCGCGCTACCACTTGAGCCACATCCCCAGCCCGATTTGCCTGTTTTTTATTGAGAATTTTTCCATCTATATTCATCAGGGATATTAGTCTGAAGTTTTCTTTCTTTGATGTGTCTTTGTCTGGTTTTGGCATCAGGTGATATTAGCTTTATATAATGAGTTTGGAATTGTTCCTTCCTTTTCTGTTTTGTGCAATAATTTAAGGAAAATTGGTATTAGTTCTTCTTTACAGGTCTGGTAGATTTGGCTGATAATCCATCTAGTCCTGGGCTTTTCTTTGTTGGTAGGCTTTTAATGGCTTCTTCAGTCTCATTATTTGAAATTGATCTGTTTAAATCTTCTATATCATTCTGGTTCAATCTGAGTAGGTTATATATCTCTTGGAATTTATTGCTGTCTTCAAGATTTTCTAGTTTTTGGAGTATAGATTTTCAAAATAGCCTCTGATTATCCTCTCTATTTCAATAGGATCTGTGGTTTTATTTCCATTTCATCACAGATTTTAATAATTTGCATTTTTCTCCTTTCTTTTGGTTAGCTTGGCTAAGGGTTCATCAATTTTGTTTATTTTTTCAATGAACCAACTTTTTGATCCATTGATTTTTAAATTATTTATTATTTTTTTAAATTATCAGTTTCAATGATTTCAGCTCTGATTTCAATTATTTCCTTTCTTCTGCTGATTTTGATGTCTCAAAATGGCCATACTACCAAAAGCACTTTATAAATTCAGTGCAATTCCCATCAAAATTCTAATGACATCCTTCATGGAAATAGAAAAAGCAATCATGAAATTCATTTGGAAAAATAAGAAACCCAGAATAGCCAAAACAATCCTTAGAAAAGCAAAGCAGGAAACATCACAATACCAAACAAAAATTATACTGTAGAGCTACAGTAACAAAAACAGCCTGGTATTGGCACCAAAACTGGCAAGAAGGCCAATGGACCAGAATATAAGATACAGAGACAAACCCACAAAAGTATAGTTACTTCATACTAGACAAAGGCACCAAAAACATATATTGGAGGAAAAAAAGCCTCTTTAACAAACGGTGCTAGGAAAACTGGAAATCCACGTATAGTAGAATGAAATTTAACCCTCATCTCACCCTGCACAAAAGTTAGTTCAAAGTAGATCAAGGACCTAGGTATTAGACTAGAAACCCTGCACATACTACAAGAAAATTTAGGCCCAACACTCCAACTTATCAACTCAGGAACTGACTTCCTTAACAAGACTCCTAAAGTGCAAGAAGTAAAATCAATAATCAATAAATGGATTGGCATCAACTAAAAAAAAAAAAAGCTTCTTCACAGCAAAGAAAACAAAAGCATGAAGAAAGAGCCTACATAATGGGAGAAAATCTTTGCCACCTGCACCTCTGTTACAGCATTAACTTCCAGGATATATAAAGAACTCAAAAAACTTACACACACACACACACACACACACACACACACACACACGAATAACCCAATCAATAAATGAGAAACTGAATAGACACTTCAGAAGAAGAAATATGAATGGTCAACAAATATATGAAAAAATGTTCAACATCTCTAGCAATTAGAGAAATGAAAATTAAAACTACACTGAGATTCCATCTTACTCAAGTTACAATGGTAATTATCAAGAGTACAAGCAACAATTAATGTTGGTGAGGATGTGGGAAAAAAGGTACACTCATACATTGCTGGTGGGACTGCAAATTGGTGCATCCACTCTGGAAAGCAGTTTGGAAATTCCTCAAAAAACTTGGAATGGAATCACTGCTTGACCCAGTTATCCCACTCCTCAGCATATACCCAAAGAACTTAAAATCAGCATATTACAGTGACATAGCCACATTAATGTTTATAGCAGCCCAATTCACAATTGCTGAGCTATGGAACCAAAGTAGGTGCCCTTCAACAGATGAATGGATAAAGAAAATGTGGCATATAAACACAATGGAGCCATAAAGAAGAATTTGACTTTTGGACATTTGCCAGCAAATGGATTGATCTAGAGATGATCATGCTAAGTGAAATCAGCCAGTCCCAAACAGACAAAGGTTCAATGTTTTCTCTGACATGTGGAAGCTAATCCACAATAAGGGGGATGGAGGTGAGGGGAAGAGTAGAAGTTCAGTAGATTAGACAATGGGGAATGAAGAGAAGGGAGGAGGGATAGAAAAGGAAAGACAGTAGAATGAATCTGACATAATTTTCCCATGTACAGTATGGAAACCACACATTGTATCCCATCATCATGTACATCCATAAGAATGGGATCCTATCTAGAATAAGATATATTTTATGCTTGTATAATTATATCAAAATGGATTCTGCTTCTGTGTATAACCAAAAGAACCACTTAAATAAATACGTCTTACCTGATCACACCTCTAAAAAAAAGAAAATCTGTGCTTAAGAATGAACAGAATTTGATAACTAATTGGATGTTGCAGAGAAGAGAGAAGGGAGGGGTCAACATAAATGAAAGCTGATTGGATGAATCACTGAGTCATGCTATGAGGACAAATAAAAGAATCCATTAGAACACAGGTTACAACTCCAAGTAATGTGGACAAGTAGGGCTCTGCTTTACCTGGACTGCAAATTAACCTTATATTTCTGGTGGTTAGCTCATGGAATGTGTTCTATAATTGCAGCTTTCTAAGAATATAAAGCCATAATTCAATAGTCTGGATATATGTTTAAGTTTTTTAAACAGAGACACAAAAAACATGATATATGTTGACAAATACACACTTGAACATATATTTAAATATATAGGAGGAATAGGATATATGACTGACTTCATTATTTTCCAGATTTTACCAAAGGAAATTTGCTTTTAAAATCAGAAAGAAAAATAACTTTTCTTTAAAAACTGAATGGACTAAATATTTACCATTTTTCAATTCCTTCAGAATACCTAATCAAACATGTAGAGACTATTCATTATATGGTCTGCCAAAATGACTTTCCAGAGTGACGTTTTTGAAAACTTTAAAATTTTCCATTTATGTAAAATTATTTTAATTTCAATATTAGAGTATTTGAAGTATATGTTTAGACATTTAAAGATTTGTAGCTTTCAGMCAGTGGCAATATTTTCACTCTCTGGCATTTCTATGATGTTGATATTAAGCTTTTAAAATCCTTGATTATTGAAGAAAGGCAAGTAAATATCAATTCTCATTTGGTGTCATAAAATACTTGAATACTCAATAATTATTGGCCAAATTTAGTCATAATTTATGTTATGTTGGTATTACATTTTTCCCTTGTTTATTTATTTACTAATTTTTAAATGGGCAGATAAAAATTGTATATGTTATTGTGTACAACATGATGTATACATGGCATACATATGTATACATGGTGGAATGGCTAAAATGAGCTAATTAACATGTAACCTCATATCATATTTAAAATCTCCCTTGTCTATTTTCATGTACGCATAACATTGTTATTAATTATAGTCACCATAATGTATAATAATAGATCTCTTCAATTTATTTCTCTAATTTAAATGAAATTTCTGTCTTTGACTAGTATCTCCCCAAACCTCCATACTCACTAGCATCTGGTAACCACCCTTGTATTTGCTCCTTCTATAAATAACTATTTTAGATTCAACATACAAGTGAGATTATAGTGTTTGTCTTTTTGTGACTGGCTTTTTTTACTTAACATGATGTCCTCCAGGTTCATCCAGCTAGCCTTACGTTTTAATAACAGTCCAGTCAATACCAAGTTCTAAGTTTGTACTTGGGCTTTTTCCCATTTTGCTTTTTTAAAATGAAAATGAGAAATTTCCTTTACTTTGAAAGATTTTAATTTTAGGAATAAAAATGTAACTGAAAACTTTTTTCCTCTATTATTCTCTCTCACTTTAAAAATGAATGACATATTAAAATAAATGCTAGTTCTAAGAACGACTTGCTGAATTTCAGATTGGAATACATTTAAGATGAAAATCCTGATACAACCAAATTAATTTTATGTCAAATATAGTTATTTCTCAGATACTTGTGTTAACTTTGTCTATTTGAATAAGCACAAACTAAAATTAGAATTTGGATTTCATTTTGAACCAGTTGTTCACATTATGATATGCAGAATTAATGGAATTTTTCCTTACCATTTAGGAAATACCAGACAGGAACCAAGGTACGGCTGCGCCTCCTAGATCTGGAGCTCACATCTCGGTTCCTGGGAGCAACCACAGACACAACAATACTGGAGGCTGATGCCATTCTCTTAGGACTTCAGGAAAGCAGAAAATCAAAAGAGGAACATCATGAAAAGTAAATGAACTTTGCCTAGTGGGTTCATGCCCTCTTTGTTGAACCTATATACTCTTCAAGAATGCAATTAGAAAATTATGAAAAAATGATTGAATAAAGATGTCATAAGTGAAAACTGTAATTATGGTATAGTGCTTATTCATTAGAATTTTCTTTAGCTTAATCCCCCTACATTTTAACCCATATTTTCCTTTGTTTCATGTGTTGGACAGTGATACACACTAAAAAGCAAAATAAAGCCAGGAAGAGGTTACAGAGTGCCCAAGGACAGGTTGAAATTTAGGTATGGTGTCAATGTAAGGCCTCACAGAGGAGGTCACTGTTGAATATCTGAGGGAACAGAGAAAGCTAGCCATGCGAGTGTCTGGGAAAGAATATTCCAACAGAGGCAATGACTATTGCAAAGGCTGTAAGTCCGGCCTGTGTCTATCCATAGGGAAAGCAGGGAGGTACTTCTCAGCCAGCGTAGCTGAGTGTGTAAGAGGAGTAGGAGACAAATGCAGAGAGGCAAGGGAGGCCATGTTGGTCCTTTGGCTGGTATTTATTTCCTCTGATTGAGATGGAGGATTACTGAAGGGTACTGAGCAAAGAAGGGATATATAATCTGATGGAAGTTTTAGCAGGATCCCTGCAGTAGATTGCCTAAGTAAACAGAAGATTAACAAGAGCTTCTGTAGGCAAGATCTGGAAGGAGACTATCATGTCATCCAGGTGAGAGATGATGGCAATTTGGATCAGAATGGTGGCAGTGGAGGTGGTGAGAAGTGATTGGTCTGGATGTATTTTGAAGGTAGAGCCAGTGGGATTTCATAACTACTGGATATGAAGAATGGGAGAGGAGTAAAGGCAAAGTTCTTGGCCTGTGTAACTAGAAGAGTTCAATTGCCTTTAACTGAGCTAGGGAAGAGCAGCTTTGGGAGAACTGCCCTGCTTTCTTTTTTAGAGTCATGTATCATCCTGTCACCTCACTCGCCTCATTTCTTACCTAGCAAAACTCCAGCCCCACTCAAATCTATTCACCTACTTCCTGTCTATACCTGACCAACTCAACATTATGGGAGCAAACTTCACCATCATGTCAATTGCTGTCACTTTAAATTGGGAATGCCAATTTTCTGAACTAGTCTAGGAAGTCATATTGCTTCATATTTTCTCAGCTGATTGTTAAAAAAAGAAAAAAGAAGAAAAGAGGATTCCAACATGGCGGCGGGCACGGAGAGATCAAGTCTCTGACCTCTTCAGCTGTGCAGGCATAGGGAGTCGTAAACAGCCTAAATCTGTTTGCTCAGGATCACTAAGCAATGCTGACCTGACGTGGATCTGGGGTGATCA